TTATCTTCGATGAAACTAATTTCAATGATTAGATTAGGAATATCAGGATGGTCACGCACTACGAGGACAAGGTAAATATCTTTGACAATGAGCTAAAGGTCATTGATGAGTCTTCTTCTACTCCCGGGGAGATTGCCGAGTACAATACCCATAAGAAGGATGCCACTAAGGTATCTTGCATCATGTTGGCCACAATGACAGCAAAACTCCAAAAGTCCTATGAGGACTTATACCCTTTTGAAATGCATCAAGACCTGATAGAAAGATACCATCAAAGTGCACGACAAGAGAGGTATGAAATCATCACCTCCATGATAACAACAAAAATGAAGGATGGAGAGTCCATCATGACCCACTTGCAGAAAATGCAAAGATTTGTGGACCGTTTGCTTAAGTTGAATGTGAACTTTGATGAGAAGCTTGTTATAGATATTATTCTACACTCCTTACCTCCATGTTATGATCAGTTCCGCATGACCTATCATATGAACAAGGAAGAGGTCACACTTAGCAAACTTCAGGGACTTTTGAGGACTGCTGAAAGTAGTCTCAAAGGTAAGAATGTTGTTACCACTCCTACTACTGCTCCAGTCTTGGCAATCGGGCAAGGCAAGAAAAAGAAAAGGAAGACCCCTTCCAAGGGTCACAAGGGAAATTCTCTTGATGGATCCTCTTCATACAAGACTAAAGTCGGTACTGCTACTCCCTCCTCCAACCCAAAAGAAACAGAGTGTGTCTATTGTCATGATAAGGGGACCTGGAAGCAAAGTTGCCCAAAGTACTTGCAGGATGTTAAGGATAGGAAAGTAAAACCCACCCATGCAGGTATTTACACTATATTGTCTAATAACTCACTGCATACTAATTCTTGGGTCCTTGATACAGGTTGTGGTATTCACATTTGTTCTGATTTGCAGGGACTAAAAAGAAGTGAGGATGTAGAGCACATGAAGATAAACTTAATCATCGGGAATAGGAAAGCTTCACATGTCACCAAGATTAGAGTTTATTCATTATTGCTTTGTAATGGGTTAAATTTAGATTTGAATAATTGTTGTTACTCGTTTGAAATGGTGAAAAATATTATTTCTTTTCATAGTTTGTACAAACAAGGTTTCACATTTTCATTTGATAATGAAATTGGTGCAATAAATGCTTATTATAATGGTTTTTTTTATTTTAGAGCATTACCTTGTAATGGTGTATATGAAACTGTGATGGTTATAGACAACTTCGGAAATAATGTATTGCATATTGATTCTTCCACTATTTTGGATAAAGCATCCTTGTGGCATTGTCGTCTTGGACATGTAAACAAGAAGCGCATAGGCCAACTCCAAAAGGCTGGAGTCTTGGAATCATTTGACTTAAAGTTAGATGATAGTTGTGAATATTGTTTGCTTGGAAAAGTGACTAAGTCACCATTCACTGGTACTTGTGAGAGGGGTGAAGGTTTGTTGGACCTCATACACACGAATGTGTGTGGACCCTTCAGAACTGCCACAAGAGATGCTAAACGCTTCTATGTGACTTTTACTGATGATTACCGTAGATATGGTTATGTCTACTTAATCAAGCATAAGTCAGTAACCTTTGAAAGATTCAAAGAGTTTAAGCAAGAAGTGGAGAATCAGCTGTGCAGGAAGATAAAGATGCTCCAATCTGATCGATGTGGAGACTATCTTAGTATCGAGTTCCTTGACACATCGTCGTCGTCCCTAGAATCCGACGATGGCAATTTTGAGCTTAGTATGCAACTTTTGACACATCATCGTCCCTAGAAGCATGATGTTGTATGTGAAAAAATCTCTCTAAGTTTCTCATCAATGAGACCATCTGCTGAGAACATTGAGTCGCCCTCTCACGTTGATTGTATATCATTGTCTAAACTCTCAAAGCAAGATTGCCTGGTCTAAATAAAAAATAATGATACAAAGGTTGGGGTGTTTATTTTTAATTTAATCATCCTTAGTTGATCCTATCCCTGGAAGCATGCTTGTCGTATGTATCAAGTCTCATGTTCTACTGAAACATTAAGCATAACCCAAGGGCTTACCCTGATTGTATAGTCATCAACGTAAGAGTTACTTGTCTGGTCCTTCAATGACAAAGGGTTTTTCATGTCCTTGACATCCTAGTCTGAGGTATGACATGGTACCATTATGATTTAATGGTTAATCTTTAATTCTAGATTACAACTTACTCCATTATACGGAAGTTTAAACCACATCTTGTTGATAAGCTAAACTGTTAATGATTCACGCTGATTTCACCTCGGCGTGACTAAAACAATCCCTTCTCTCCACAAGTCTAGTAATACATAACTTGATGATTCACTGTTTAAAACCACACACTGATAAAAGTTTGAAAGTCTGTGCCAATGGTTAGTCTATGTATAGTAGGCTATCACATGCACCAATCCATTCTTACCCTTACATTATTCTTTAAAGTTTTATGATTCAGCGTAATGTATCATACGCTGATGAGAGCTTGAAAAATCTATGCTGATGGGTATATCATTTTCTATGATATATTATATGCACATATCCACTCTTTCCATTTTTCTTCTAATAATAAAGAATTATGATTCAGCATATGAAACCACACGCTGATGAGATCTTGTAATACTATGTCATTGAATGGTAGTTTTCTCCTACACTATCAGGAGACATCACAAACTAACTATATTATCATCAAAAATTCATTCGTCGATCGCTTAAGCTGATGCTCATTGTTGTTGATCACTTGTCTCACTAATGTAACTTCCTTGTCTCAACGGTAACTTTTTGGATAACTTCTAAAAAGACACTTCATTATCTTGGGATACGAGATCTTTACGGCACATATATAGTCAATCATGATTATGTAAAAAGGAAGAAACATTTTGGGTATAAAAATGGAATTCTTCATCGTAGGTCACTTTTACAAGCAATTCAAGAAATTAAGCTCTTTCTCTAAAAAAGACTCCAAATTGTCATCTCACTCAAAGCTTTCACCATGTCATAGTCTCTGTACGAGTTTACCCCCAGTGCTAACATCATCAAAAGTCTTCATGCTCCTGACTCTACCATCATCATTCAATCGACAAATGTGGCATTCTCGGATGAAAGCCCAAAGCATTTTGCAAACTCAAAAATCGAGGACTTCGTCGACTATGTTAAGAGAGGTCCTCTTCGATATGCATTTTGTGATTTCTTAGACCCTTTCTACCCTAAACAAGTATGTGAGTTTTACTATACATGCTCTGTTGATATTGTTGCTCTAACCATCACTGGAAACATTGGAGATTGTCAATATAGGGTTACCATTGATGTAGAATCCTTTCGAACTGCTCTTTGTCTCCCTCGCTTTGAAAGTTACTATGAAACTCCCTCTGAAGAAAGTTGTAAATCTGCTTGTGAATAATTAGGGTATAACTTCCATCTTTCAGGCCTCACTCGTGATCCATACATGAACACTCTTCGTAATTGTTTTAATGTAAGGTGGAAGTACTTAACATGTCTAATTCGCAATTGTCTTGGACATAAGACTGGGAGTTTGGATCAAGTGAATCTCTTTGAGCAAAGGATTTTATAATCCATCGTTTACAAAAAAAGAGTGGACTTTGCTCAAAATTTTCTTGATCAAACGATTGACTACATTACTGGAAACAAGAAGCCATTGAATGTTACTTATCCTTGTCGGTTTGGTCTAATCTTGTCTCGAAAAGAAGGCTATGTTGAAATTCATGGAATTATTATTCCAATTCCTACCCTCTCCTCAAAATTATCAATGATGTTCCATCTCAGGGTGATTTTCGGATTACTGCAAGGATGCAAAAATGGATTGAAAACCCCTATGTGATTGAATCCTCAGACTCTAAAAAGGATAATGATAATGATGACGCTAGTAATGAAATATAGTGATGACGAGGATGATGATAATGATGATGTTGGTGATGAAGAAGATAATGATGATGATTCGCAAGTTGGTAAAAGAGAAGGGGATGATGAGGAAGAATACACTGATAAAGATGAAAAAGAATCAGTAGCTGACATGGGAGAAGACTTCACTCATAAAATGAACTCTCCTCCAAGGTTGAACAAGCACGTTCGTTTTTCAACTACTTTTTCATCCTATTCCTCTGTTGATGACACTATACCTTGTGGATCAACCCCTCCTGTTGGAGATACTACTGAGAAATTGATCCAAGATGAACTTTCTCCAAAATTGTCTCCTTCTCCTCAAGTTGATACTGTTCCTCAAGATGAGATGGTCCCCCTTACGCCAACACCCATTACTACTGTTACTCTTCATCAGGGTGATCAGGAAGCATCCAACTCCAACTTTCAAAATGGTGTGCATTCCCAACTATCTCTAATTGTGTAGATTAATCAGTCAATGGATAGAAGGTTAACAAAAGTTGAAAAGGATGTGGCCACAATGAAGTGATGTATGGCTTTAGGTGATGATGATGATGATGATATGGTTATTGATGACACCCTGCCAATATCTCCAGGTAATCAACCTCCTACGCCTCCACCTCCATCAACAAACATTCTTCCACTACCTCCTCCACCATATTATCCTCCTCCGAACACTCCTCATCCTCCTAACTCTCTCCCCCCCCCCCCAAATCTGATGTTGCCAAAAAGGGGGAGAATAATCAAGAGGGTCCGTAGCCAATGCAAATTCAAGTGATGATTCTACAAAATTCATCTTAGTTTGAGATGACTAGAAGGGTTGAAGCTGAAGTTGATCCTCAAAAACATATTGTTATTGTTGATATTTCAGATGTTGATGCTATAACTGATCAACTCATTCCAGATATTGGTGACCAATTAGAAATCGATGACTATGAAGGGTTTCTTGATCTTGGTTCCATGCAAGAAGTTGTTGTTCATGATGTTCCCTTAAATTTTGTATATCATGGTTCTTGTTTTGAGGTGGAGATTTATCAAGAGGTTCCTAAAGGAAATGATAGTGATATTGACTATGACAATGATCAACTCAATCCTTGAAAGAGGAAGGCTTCCTTCTCAAGGGGAGCTTATGATGTTGAAGTTGGAAACTCTTTTGTTGTTGTTGGTGATCTTTCAGCATCTCCTCCTAAAAAGAAGAGCAAACTCATATTTGATCTAAATGAATTAGCAGAAACATGGAGTATCCCCATTGAGGAAGTTAGAGAAATAACGGTATAATATAATGTTGTCGTTCGTCAAAAGAAAGACGAAAGAAAAGCCAAACGTCTGTCTACCAAACGTGCTCAATCTCTTGCCTATTCAAAGCATTGATAATCAAGTCAAGAAAATCTACAATAATAATGTGGAGAAACAACACATTGTTTCAGACCTGAATGACCAGATTGATAGGAAGAAGTTTGGAGATGTTCTTACTCACAGGTCAAAGCGTGATCCTATCATCAAAGTGAGATGCACCAAACTGATGAATGAATCATTGAAGCTTCACTTGGTTAGAAAGAAAACATAATATGAATACAATGAAGTTATTTATGCTCGTGAGCTAGTCAAATTTGACTACAACGAGTGGTTGATCACATAATTAGCTGTCAAAATACATTCCCCCCACAACGACTTTGGTAAGTTTGCTTGGAATCTTAGGGCATGTGTTGTTTCCAACATGTGTCTATGCTTGCACTCTACAACCCCATTCTTTTGTGGGGTGTAGGGGCAAGTGGTTTCCAGCAATATCCATTCTTATGTATAGAATTCGTGCATTTTACTTGAAACAAATTTTCCCCTGTTGTAACACCTTATTCATTTGATTTGTTTTTCGAGTTTTGTTTTGACCATTTTATGAAAATCAATGAGTCAAGAGTCTGCCTCGTGTTTGGGTTTAACGAGAAACATCTATACAGAACTATTGAAATCATCCACTATTGTTAAGAAATAAAAGGATTTTGACAGAGAAAGGGTTATGTACTTCCCCCTAACATCACAGTGTACTAAATCAAAACTAGCAGTAGTTTTTATTTCACTAATGGGAAAGGGAAGTCTAGTGTGTTTTTCCTTAGATCAGGGATCACAAACTTGGGCTTTACTATTTCTAGAACAAACTTTGACAAAATCTAAATGAGAAATCTTTTCTGGTGACGGGTGACCGAGTTTCATATGCCATACTTCAAATTTTGTGGATAGAGCTTCTCTTCTTTCCGCTGTCACTATCTGATACAATCCTTCAACGCAATTACCTGATCCAATCAATTCCCTCGTCACTAACTTCTGCATGAAAAAGAAATCAAGAAATAATGTTATAATGCAATTAAGATTGCATGTAAGCTTACCAACGGATAAGTGATTATAACCGAAAGTTGGCACATGCAAGACTCCATTTATTTTTACTCCACCCGGTAAGGTGTGTTCTCCTTCACCCATAACAGGAATTGTATCCCCATTAGGAAAGATGACGAGTGCTTCTTTTAAATTTGTGACTTCATTATAGCGACATTGAGTGATTGCTTCAGTTCATAAGCACAAACAAGGTGCTCCTTCCTTCTCGAATCTCTCATCCAAGTCTTTCCAGATTTCCGGCGAGGTGTTGGCATACCTTACACTGGTGCGGATTTCTTTTTCCATTGTCGTCGTTAGCTAACCTTTTATCATGGCGTCAACTCTCATCCATGCCATGTACATGGGATCTGTGGCTTCTAGTTTCTTGATCGACCTGTCCACAAAGCCAACCTTGTTCTTTGCGAATAAGAAGTTCATCATCTCCTGTTTCATTCATTGAAATTGTTGTTGTTCAGAATGTCATTCACCTGCATTTTTTTTGGATAATCAGATGTGTGAATGTAGTATGTCTTGTTTTAAGATGGAATATGTTTGAACCATGTATAATGATATATGGTATGGTGTTTGGATAAAATATAAATAATGTTTTAGGATTAATATTATAAAAGACTTTAACCTTTATTGGACCTTAACCTTTTTTTCTTCATGTTGTTTATGGTGTTTTTGCTCGCATTTAATCTTAAAATTTCAAGGAAATATTAGATGGTGACAAAATGCATGTTAAAATCTATTTGGAAGATGCCTGAATTTGTTGCGGGTGAAAAGCATCGGTCTAGGGCTCTAGTTGACCTTAGAGCATCCACATCGGGGTCTTTCAAAATTCTTTTGCAATGTCACCAAGCAATATTTCATGCCACATATGACTTGATCTTTCAACTTGTGCAAGCCCTGCAAATGTAGTTTAATAATTTTTTAATCAACCAATATGGGTGATATGAGGGGAATACACATCAGACTATTTTTAATCAATATATTAACTTTTCATCCACTTGATATATATTAGTTTTCAATCGGCATACTTACATTTCCACCAAACATTGTACACATGTGGCATTTACAATCGATTTGCAAGAACCACCAATGTGGATGCTCTTACATTTAATATTGTTTTCGGAATTAAACAAAATGATAACTTCCATATTCCAATCTATGTTTGGAAATCTAATCTAAGGGTTCAACTGACTTAATTTTCCCAATCGATAGTCATTAGTTATAGTAGAGTTAAAAATTACCTTAGCTATTACATTGTTTTTCATCTTCAAAATTTTAAATTAACAGACATAAAACCTTCGGCTAGCAAATATAGAACATTTGGTCTCCAAATTAGAAAATTCAGAACCTTTTATCTCCAAATTAGTGGGTGTAGAATCATTTGTGATTTACTTTCACCCAAATTAGTAGACATATAACCTTCAATCTCCAAATTAACATATGTATAACCATTTGTTATATGATTTCATCGAAGTTAGTAGATGCATAACTTTCAATTTCCAAATTCACAAACACACATATAATCGAAGTATCATACCTCCATCTTTTTTTCATCAAAAACATCAACAAGAGCAAAATAATACGAGTCAACAAAAAGTTTGTTAAATATGATTGTTTTCTTAAATTATCAGAAACCCACTAAACGGGTTGGAATGAAAAAAATAGAAAAATGTGAGGGTTGTTTTGAAAAATATTCACATATGTTCTAAAGAAATCTTCAAGTGAATAAGTAAAGGGTTGTCTTGAAAAATTAAGTCAGTTGAACCCTTAGAATAGATTTCCAAACATAGATTGGAATATGGAAGTTATCATTTTGTTTAATTCAGAAAACAATATTAAATGTAAGAGCATCCACATCGGTGGTTCTTGCAAATCAATTGTAAATGTCACATGTGTACAATGTTTGGTGGAAATGTTAATATACCGATTAAAAGACTAATATATATCAAGTGGATGAAAAGTTAATATATTGATTAAAAATAATCTGATATGTATTCCCCTTACATCACAAATATTGGTTGACTAAAAAAATTAATAAACTACAATTGCAAGGCTTGCACAGGTTGAAAGATCAAGTTATATGTGGCATGAACTTGTTGACATTGCAAAATAATTTTGAAAGATCCCGATGTGGATGCTCTAACGTCAACTAGAGCCCTATAGGGGTGTTGAACGGGTAATTTTTTCGGGTTTCAGGTAATTCGGGTCTGGTAATTCGGGTTTTTCATGTTAGAAAAATTACCCGTTACCCTACCCAAACTAAATTCGGGTAATTCGGGTTTGGGTAATTCGGGTATCGGGTCGGGTTTGGGTAATTCGGGTATTACCCGAAATATATATATATATATTTTTTGAATTTTACCTGAAAATAAATTTAATAAAATAAATATGTCGTGCTTTATTAGTCTTGTTTATATAAACAAACGAGACATAAACGAAGTTACACAAGCTTTGAACATTGAGATTTTTTAGTCAATAAATTATGAGATATCAAGTAATTTTTTAACAACTTAATCTAATCTAATAAGATGTTAAAAAAAACAAATACCTAAAGATCTTAATTTAAAAGTTTAAAATGTTTAAGATAAATGTAGCCATAAGTTTTGCCATGTTCTGAAGTTTCGTTAAGATAATGAGTTTGTTAGTTGCAATAAAACCTATAATCAAGAAAACAGTTAAGTTTTAAAGAACGTGATGGTATTTAAAAATTACTTTTAATATTGTTAGTATCGTATTGTCATAATAAATATATTAATGTTTTACAATAATAATATAGTTTAAGCGTGATTAAATATCTGCTATATTGTACAAGCTCTACAAAAAAAAAGGAATTTTTAAAATAATTTGGGTAATTCAGGTATACCCGAATCCCAAAAAATTTACCCTTTACCCTACCCGAAAAAAAAATCGGGTAACCCGATTACCCGGAAAAATTTACCCGTTACCCGATTTACCCGATACCCGAAAAATCGGGCGGGTATTTCGGGTAACGGGTATTTTCGACAGGGCTACTTATTTTCATGTTACGGCTCTCCTTATATTGCTTATTTCTTCCTTAGGTGCCTAGTTCTTGTCATGAAGTTGGCATATCCGTGTGGTCATACGTGGGGTTCCCCGTCTTTTATTGACAAGTGTCGAACTTTCCCTTCATTGGACCAATGGGTCGATTTCAATCACCTAACTATCCAGCACTTCAGATTCCGTATAGTACTCTTAGAATGGTTAATTAGTGGTCCTCCATAGATGCTTTTATAGTCTCATTCCATTTTAAATATTTACACAGTCAATGTGCCTAGACATTAGGAGTAATCACACTCATCTGACATATGCAAATCAAAGCAGTCAATAGAAAAGCATGCATCCCATAATGCTATTCGAAGTATATGATTAAACTTAATCATGTGTAAGTAGGCAAAGGTTAATTAACCACTACATATGTTTATCTGTTGGTGTTGCTTAATTGTTGCATTGCTTTTTCCGTGATCTTAAAGTTGCATTTTTGGAGTGGACCCAATGACACCCAATAAACTTTTGAGGTCTATTATCTCATCTCGTCACATTTTTTCCGTGTAATAAAAAGTTGTAATTTTTATTTCATTTCTCTCTTGTCAATATATATGTCTGAATCCAAGTCTTACTGAACATTTTGTCATTTGAATATTCTTAATTACAAAGAAGTAAATGAATAATGAGAATAATTTCATATGCTTTTCGCTGAG